CATGACAGCACATAGAACAACCATGCATACCGGGTTACACTCCAGACCAGACAACCATACACATAACATGTGATCATATAACAATTCACAGTTAGCAAATCGATCAACAGATCACATAACATATCATTACCCTAACCAAGATACCAGCCTAGCCGATCACTAGCATAACATCACCCTACGACTTAGCCAACATAATAATTATGCACATACACCTTTCCAGGCCATGACCTTCCGGTCCACATCGCATTACCTTCCGGCCCACAACATGTAATGCCTTCCGGCCCATAACGTAACGCCTTCCGGCCTATTTCCCGCAATATCATACAACAGACAATTACCCGGATTTCCATCCGATAAAAGGGTCGGCCTTGGTGCCTTAAACCCGATAGATATAGTGAGGATAACTCACCTTGAAACTGCCGACTGAACAGATAACTCAAGCTACTCCGATCACTGATACGATCTCCACCACTAGATAGCCACCAATGCACTGAACTCAAAACCATAATCAACAATTACCAAAGTACCCCTGGAAACCACTGGTTAACCCTTGGTCAAATTCTAGGTCAAGGTCAACCCATGACTAACCCTACTCGCCGAGTCACCCCGAGACTCGGCGAGTCCAACAACTCTGAGTCCACTCGCACACAACTCACCGAGTCATCCCTTGACTCGCCGGTTCTTGACTCAACCAGAAAATATTTGGACTTCTTCGACAAGACTCGCCGAGTCCAAAAACAGACTCGCCGAGTCTAAGGCTATCATCAACCTACTCGTCGAGTTGTTCATATAACTTGCCGAGTTTCAGGCCATCTTCATCCAACTCGCCGAGTTGTTCTTCCAACTCGTCGAGTCTCAGCTCATCTTCAAGCAACTCGTCGAGTCCACCCATGTGACTCGCCGAGTATCACCGGTCTAAATCCATACAGAAGCATCCCAGGCCATGCAATTGATCCAAAACATAGATATAGTCTCCTACAACCCATCCATCATGTAAAGTGGAAAACTTTACGTGAATCCATGAAGATCTAGGCATTTTGCACGTTAGGGCTAAGGTTTGGGACAAGATAGCTTCATCCAACACTCAACACAGGGACATTCCTGCATTCCAACTCTCCTCCATTCCAGATCTGAGGTAACAACCTCAGATCTAACCTCTAGACTCCAACATAACCCAAGATAAGCTTCCCTCAAACCCCAAAATGAATAAACAAGATAACAATAGCCTAAGAACGAGATATTACCTCAAAGGAACGCCCCAATCTGCAAGGAACTCGAATCCAAGCAAAGCCCTTTGCTCCACACCTTCAAAATCCCAAACTTTCTTCAACAATTACTTCTCCAAGCTCCAATCCACTCAACAATGGTGCTTCTCCACGATTTTAGGGTTTCAGGGACTCAAAGGGGTGATAAAGAGGCTAGGGAGGAAACATAATGCTCTTTATATAGGGCTCAACCCCGAGAACTAGGGTTTTCTCCACTCAGCGCCTACTCGCTGAGTCCATCTCATTGACTCGCCGAGTCGGCTATTTAACATGCGACCAAGTCGCGACTCTACTCGCCGAGTCCATCCATGGACTCGCCGAGTCACTCTTTCCCAAATTACACTTTTAGCCCTTCCACTCAACTCTTGCTATTTTAGGATGTTACATATGGACTGACTCGTCGAGTAGGGTCGAGTTTTCGTGTACGTGTTAGTCGGCGACTCGACGAGTCCATATTCGGGACTCGGCGAGTCTGTCTGCCAGGATGAAACCCTAAATCCCCGGGTTGCTCGCTATTTAAGCAATGTTATGTGCCCTAAACTCGCCTCCTTCACCCTCAGAGAGAGCTGTGAGAACCCTAATCCATTCCTTGATTGATTTAAGTGTTTTTGTGTGGATTCTTGAAGGCTTGAAGAAGAAGAAGGAGAAAGGAACAAGGAGAAGTGGTGTAGAGCAAAGATCCAAGGTCAAAATCCGAGTTCATTGAGGTATTTCTCGGAATCCCTCTGTTTTATGCTTAAAAACTTCCGTTAGATCATTTCTAAGGCTAGTTTGATGCTTTTTCCAACCTTATAGTTGTATGGATGCCTTATTAGGTCGAGATATCCATAGATCTATTCATTTAGGAGTTGTAGAGCCCGGATCTACTGCCTTTTTGAAGTTGCTTTGCATAAGAACCTTAGATCTAGCCTTTATCATGCTTTTTGAGCCTTATAATCTTCATTGATGCTTTTGGACACGTAAAGATAGAATCTTTACGTGATAATCGGACTAAGGAAGCTCAGATCTATAAAGTGTTTGCGGTGGTTTTGATCAGAATCGAGTTTTTAGGATCTGCATGCATGTGACTCGGCGAGTCGTTCTTCGGACTCGGCGAGTCTGGTCGCAAGTCCCCGATCTTTACCCTTTGAGTGATTCCGAGTGGAGGCTAGTGAGCGGTAGGGTGAACTCAGTGAGTTGAAGGGTAGACTCAGTTATGGTGGGACTCGACGAGTTGTTCATACAACTCGGCGAGTCCAAGGCAATCTTCATAGATCGAAGAACAACTCGTCGAGTTGTTCATATGGCTCGACGAGTCGGATGCAGATTGTCTGAGTTTTTGAATCGAGAGGGTACTCGTCGAGTCGATGCCATGCTCGACGAGTAGTCACGAGTAGGGTTGAGAAGTGAGATTAGGGACTCGACGAGTTGGCGGCCCAACTCGGCGAGTCGGGTCAACTGTAGGTTGACTTGACCAGGAGAGTTGACTTTGATCAGGGGTATAAGAGTCATTTTACCCATTGCAGTGTTTAGTATCTGATTGTGTGTGTTATGGAATTGTAGCCGAGGAGATACCGGAGCAGCACAGTTAGTTGCCAGAGCCGTGCACATAGCAGCCAGTTCACGAGGTGAGTTTCCTTCCAGTAGGAACGGGTCTAAGGCCACAATGCCGGCCCGTTCAGTTAGCCGTAGTTTCTGGACTTCGGTCCAATGCAGTAGTTAGTGTGTTTGACGCCTCCGTGGCTCAGACAGGATTTGTGTGCTTATGCTAGTTGATAGGTTATGATATGCTGTGTTCAGTCAGTCAGCTTCGAACTTCGGTTCGATGGAGGGGACAAGGTCCCAGTCAGTCAGCTTCGGACTTTGGTCCGATGTAGGGGACAAGGTCCCAGTCAGTCAGCTTCGGACTTCGGTTCGATGTAGGGGACAAGGTCCCGGCCAGTCAGCTTCGGTCTTCGGTCCGATGTAGGGGATAAGGTCCCAGTCAGTCAGCTTCGGACTTCGGTTCGATGGAGGGGGCAAGGCCCCAGTATATGCTTTATATGTTTATATGGTATGTGGTAGTTTGGGGGAGCTAACTATGCTTCATGCTTACAGTTTCAGTTTTGGTTTCAGGTACTTCCGCAAGCAAAGGGAAGAGCTCGGGTTGATGGCATCGCACACACCACAACTTTAGCTTTATCCTGGGAGTTGATTCAGTTTCTTGATATGTTTGGATACAGTTGTGATACAGTTATTCTCACAGTATTTTATTATGGTTTTTATTATGTGATACTCAGTTTCGTGGTTTTTGATATAATAAAAGTCGAAATTTTTGGGTAGTATTTTTGGGTCGTTTCAATGGGCTTGAAGATCGAAGAACTCGACAAGTTCAAGAATAAACTCGACGAGTTCAAGGCAATGTCCCAACTATATGAAGAAGAACTCGACGAGTTCAAGGCAATGTCCCAACTATATGAAGAAGAACTCGACGAGTTCAAGGAAGAACTGGGCGAGTCAAGGACTAAACACTTCAACTAGTATGAAGCAGGATGTGAGGACTTCAAGGATGAACTCGGCGAGTCATGAGCAAAAAGGTCCCAATTTTGTATGAAGGAAAACTCGATGAGTTCTTAAAAGACTTGACGAGTAGGATTGAAATTCTGGGATGTCCTGGGTTATGGAACTCGATGAGTTGCTGGACCAACTCAGTGAGCTGAGTCAACCAAATGTTGACTTTAACCAAAAGTTGACTTTGACCAGGGTGTTGACATTGATTTTGACTTTGACCTGAGTTAACCCTTGAAAGGGTTAAGAGTATGAAATGGTAATTAAGGAATGTTATTATGTGTAGGAGTTGAGAGGAGTTGATCCCGGCATCGAGGATAGTTCAGACACTTCATGACATCGAGGTGAGTTACCTTCCAGTAGAAGTGGGTCAAAGGAACCAAGGCCGGCCCACTAGTAAGAGTTATAGTATGGGTAATTATCTTTGTGAAAATTATCTGGTATATCGTTATTTGTTATGTTTATGTGCTAGTATGCTATGATGTCATATGGTATGTGATAGAAGTGGTAGGATAGACCCCAATACCGGTCGATAGGGCCAAAGGGGTAAGCCAATACCTAGATATATGACTTGTATATTTATGTACTATGACTTGTATATTTATGTACTAGGATGCTATGTGGTAGAGTATGGGGTGAAATAGTCCCCAATACTGGTCAAAAGGATCGAAGTGGTAGGCAAACACTCGGATATGCTAGTCAAGGTACCGGTCGACAGGACCGAAGGGGAGGCTAGCACCCGGATATGCTAGGCAAAGTACCGGTCGGTAACACCGAAGGGGTAGTTAGTTACTCCTTAATCCTATTAAGGAATGTTGCCCAACAATCTATTATTCTATAATGGATATATACATCCATCTTAAAATGGTACACGAATCCTTGGTGCAAACTTCACCAACTCCAATATCCCAGATCGGGTCCCTACATATTTAAATATACTAATTAAAATACTAAAATCAAATACTAGATTACAATTATTGAGTTTATAATACTTATTATACTTACCCATTATCTCTTTTAGATGCAAAAATTGAACTGCACATATCAATATCCTCCTTCTTCAACCTATCACCAATCCTAATAACCCCTTTAATAAAAGGTGAATGAAATAAATTTGTAGATTTCTTGTCCCTTTTTCCCCTTTTACCATTATCATCTTCATTGCCAACATTATTCATTTCATCCTGTAGATTTCTTCCTTCATTCGAATTAAATCCAAACACAACAGTACGTTGGATTCTCTTCTTCTTCTACACGTTTACTACTTGAAAACATAATCTTAGTTTTAGTTGCCATATCTATCATTTCATCCATCACACCCGGTAACTTATAAAACCGAGTCATTGTAAGATCATCATGTGTGATTTCATTTTCCGTACGTGGTGCCACATAACTACATCCTTCATCTACATCCTTGCTCTTACGTACCAAACCCCTAATAGGTGACAAATCCCCTTGATATTCAACAATTTCTTTTCCATGGTATGGAATATCATTTTCATTATCATTCTCCTTATCATAATCATTCTCATTAAACAACTCATTTTTTTTAATTACGCACTCTTTCAAAACTTTATTGTCTGTAATTTTTTTCAAACCATCTTTTAATGCAACTTCCATTTTACTATTCTTTGCTAGCAATTTACCAAAAAAGTGCTCCAACACAGCAGCAAAGGCCTGTAATATTAACAATATTATATCAAAAACTATAAACAACTAAATTAGGTATTGTAATCAAACCGACATGATTGGAGGGAAGGACAACAATGATGCTATTATAACTGATGCAGAGCAACAGAAGCAAAATGATTCTATGAGAACTGACACATTTCTTCAACCTATCACTAACATTCTAATTAAATAAAACACTATGTATTTTAACTAATCATCCATATATAACAAATAAAAAAAATAAAAACACATTTAAAGAAAAAACTAATATTGAAATTAAAACATTATTAACTCTACCTCAATGTCCCCATAAAGTTCGCATTCTTCCTCCTCTTCTTCACACCCCATTCTCGCATCATTTAAGCTACTATCTCTGAATTGCATCCCGAACCCTCCAAACTTAATTTCGAATTCTTGTATTTGTATAAGCTTATCACCCTTGACATGTGCAATAAATGGTATCATTTTATCCAACTTTATATTTTCAAACCTCACGTAATACACATATGACAACTGCAATAAAATGGATACATAAACAAAAAATCATAACACACTTCAAATTTAAAATTTATATTCAAATAATCACATTTATATCCAAAATAATTAATCGCTTACCAATAACAACGTAATTGGGCCCAAGTAGTAGCATGTTTTGTCATCCCTTATCCACAATTCGTTTCTACTTCGTAGGCTGTCCAACATGTACTTACACCAATCAATTTTGGAAAAGTCCTTCACTAGAACTAGCTTCTCAACCACTTTGATATTATTGGTGCCACCAACCATTGACTCTATGAAGGTGTTAATGAACAGAATAAGAAAGTTCAACCTGAATATCACATTGTGTTCTTCTATACTTCTAATATGTTTCACATATGCTTCACTATGATACTTCTTGTCTACATATTGTGCTTTCCATTCTTCTAGAATCTCATTTTCGGTTTCACAGTAAGGCATTCTACTCAGATCATCACCTTCCATAGGTAAACCCATCATGTTATGCATTAGGTCTTTTGTTATCAATTACTCCATTCTCCATCACAAGTCTATTGCTTTCTGGATGATACACATCTAGAAGAAAATAGTTTAGCAACCCTGGTACAACATCCATATCTAACTTCAACAATGACCCAAATCCCATCTCCTAAACTGCTTTCTTTTGTACTGGTGACAACACTTTAACAACTGAATTAATCCTACTTGGTATCATTCTAGTAGGTAGCCTTCTTAAACACGGTGGATAGTCTCTTTCAACTTTTCTGATCTTATCATTCACATTCCTTAACTTCTTATTTTCATTCTTTTTTCATCCCCTCTAACACAATTTTTTCATTTTTTTGCTTTACATTATTTTTTTCCTTCTCGGCCTGGCTTTTCCCCTTCTAACAGAACATTCACCTTCTCACCTTTTGTCTTTGACCTAAGTATCCTTTCCTCCATAAAAAAAACATTTAAGGGACGAAGTTTTTTCTTCTCTAGGGTTGATCTTGATAACTGTTGACGTTTCTTCTTTTTCACATTTGTACTTGGGATAACTATTGTTTCTGCAATCACTACATGACAAACACCATTTTCAAACCATTACAATAACATTATACAAAAAAATCACTTTCAATTATACTAATATTGTGAACTACAACATATTAACTTGTAACCAGATCATTGTAAAATTGTTGAAATCTAATTCAATCATACACATTTTACAAGATTACCTTTTATTTATAAATTGGTTCTGCAACACAAAATAATACTAACACTACATAAAATTACATTAATACACATTACTCAATATACAACTCAATGTACAAGAACATAATAAACAATCAAACTCCTACATATAACTTTTATCAATCACACATTAAATTTATGGCAGGACAAAATGTCATTATATTACTAGTTCACAAAACACATTACCAAAACCACTAAAAAATTATCCTTTAATTACAAAATAGTTAACACACAACACATCATTCTGTTGGAATTGACTAATTAAAACAAATTCATTCATAAACTTTGTTATAGTAAATACCTTATTTGGAAAACAAACACACAATTTCTACTAGAAACTGTTTACAATTACAAGTAATTAAATATACATAATGACTATAAACAACATAAACAAAAAAATTGTTATGTTACTGATATTATCATTAAGAACGAGCATAATAACCTTTGAGAATAAAATACTTTTCTAACTTTATACCACTAACAGAACAATCATTAATCTACAAGAATCAACTATATTCCAGACGAAGCTTTACTAATCCAAACGATTCTTACTAAATCCATAACAACAACATCCCTAACAAATTTTACTAACACACATAAAATCTAACAGAACGAACTACTAACTACGCCAAAACCCGTTTTCCAAAAACCCTCTAGTTATCGCAAACAAAAAAAAAACCTCAACATTCTCTTTCTTTCTACAAAACGATTAATACCTGGTGTTGGGGATACGAAATCGTCATCATCATCTAGATTTAAAGCAGTTTTCTCCGTGTTCGTGAACTTAGACTTGAACGAAGTCGACCTTGTTGATCGCATTCTTCAAGAAACTGTATCACAAACCAAAACAACGTCGATTTTGTGTCGAAAAATTCAGCTTCATATGATCAAGGATTAAGAAATGTAATACCTATTACGAAATTTCTTCTTCGCTCGTGATTATAATCAATCGTAGAATTTATGAGCTTTGTTAAAGAGAAGGTAGGTGTTCCGTTAATTTTGGGATTATGAAAATCTCATCCTAAATAAATTATATACTTCCTAATTAGATGGAATGGTAACCGGGATTTTATCCCTTCTTATTTAATACATTGTTTACAATTAATATATTTTTTTAAGCTAAAAACAATTAGTGTAAAATAAGAAAAACACTTGGCACACAAACAATCCTTACAACCACACAGTAATTACAATCCACATTATAATATGAACATATATATATATATATATATATATATATATATATATATATATATATATATATATATATATATATATATATAAAGGTAAAACTAATATCAGTCCCTCCGGTCTTACTTTACTATATAGACAAAACTGTACGAATGGTCCCTGTGGTTTGCTGAAAATTACCACTTTGGTCCAAAAAGTTTTGGACTAGCACCACAGGTCCAAAGTTTTCATTTTCTTGCGAGTTTGGTCCAATTTACTTTAACAATTTTTGTAATGATGATTTTACCCTTGTTTTTTTTTCAGTTTTTTATTTATTTAAATATTTTGATAATTAAAATAAAATTAAACTCTCTCTCTCTCTCTCTCTCTCTCTCTCAAGTTCCAGACTTCCAAGATTCACTCTTCCCTCTCTTGTTTCTTGGAAACTTGGATGATGTTCTTCAAACTTCATACAATCCCAAACACCAAAATTTGATTTAAACCCATCGATTTCTATCAAGCAAAATGAAACACCAACCTAAAGCTATTGATTTAAACCCATCGATTTCTATCAAGAAAAACATACAAACACCCATGGATCCCCTGTAAAACATTAACCCTAAAAATCATTTCCGTTCATAAAATTCTATCAAGAATCAATCCCAAACACCTGCTTAACCTTATCAATTTTTATCAAAAAAACGAAGAAGAAGAAGTAAACAACCTCTGAGCATTCGATCAACCCACGAGCCTCCCCACTTGCACCGATGTCTCATCACTCCTTCCCTCCTCCCCCCTCGTGATCCTCAGCTGGAGCAGAAACAAGCAACCAAGAGCTGCTTTAGCAGCCCTCGCTGAACCCACCAAGTTCGACGACAGCCTCACTGCCATGTTCTTCTTCCCTTCTTCAGTTCACTCAAATAACGAGGGTGTTTCCCCTTACTCATCCACAACCCAACAACTCCGAAATCACAGCCACTCGCTGCTTCTTCCCACCTGCATCACTTCGCTCTCGTCGACCTGGAGACTTCTCCCTCCTCACGATCTGCAATCGCCAATACCTCCCTTGGTCCTTTTTCTGGCCTGCGACGAGCAAGGAACCAAGGATCAAACCCTCCAAAATCGAAATTGGTGTTCGATTTCTCCTCTACTTGCAATGACGCTTCCGTTCCTTCTGCTGCCTTGTGTTCATATGTGTTTATCCATTGCCCGATCATACATTGAACACGGGAATGAAATTAAAAGCCCTAATTTCATTTTAGATTGTGAAAGTAGAAAACATTTAGTCGAAGATGGAGGTAGTGGACGGTGGTGACATCAGACTGTAGTGGTGGAAAACGGTGGTGGTGATGGATGGTGGTCCAACAATGGCGGTGGGGAAGATGTTCTTGAGTTTATGACATGGTCGAGTTCATTAACGATGGTGGTAATTAATTTTCAGAAAAAATTTAGATGAGAGAGAGAGAGAGAGAGAGAGAGAGAGAATTATTTTCTTTTTTAATTTTATTTTAATTAAGAAAATATTTAAATAAACAAAAAACTGAAAAAAAAAAAAAGAAGGGTAAGATTGTCATTACAAAAATTATTAAAGTAAATTGGACCAAACTCGCAAGAAAATGAAAATTTTGAACTTGTGGTGCTAGTCCAAAACTTTTTGGATCAAAGTGGCAATTTTCAGCATACCACAGGAACCATTTGTCCAGTTTTGTCTACTATATATTTACGTGGGCATGCATATAAAGAATTAAATGAAGGTACATGATGGATTGAGAATAAATATAACTTAAAAGCTTATTATGGAATAAAATGGTTTAATTTAAATCAATACAAGATGAGACAAGATAATGGTCGGCTATTTTAATATTGAGCCATCTTTTTAATTGAATATTGGGCTTAACTTGTTGGATAATACTTACGGATCAACTAGACTATACAATAGATCAACAGACGGGCTAACAAATTTTATTCATACCATCTTCATTCTTATATATATTTTTATATTAAAAGTGGTGTATAAATGATGGAAATAGTATATTATTTTCAATCTTATATCACTTTTTACACTAAAAATATATATTTCTTATAATATTTTATTTTAAACTTATATAAATTATAAAAGCCGCTCTTTAACTTATTAACTTTTAAATTATTTATATATTTTTTATACACAAACTTTACATAATAAATTATTAGAAAATTAAAACCAAATTAATTATTTATATACTATTAATTAGAATATCATTTGTTAATAAGAAAACTATATTTTAAATCACAATTTTATATATTTATAATTAATTAATGCCGATTTAATATATAACATAATATAATAATAAATAATTATTATATTTAGGACATACATATTAATATAAACTAAATTAGAATAAAATAATACAAAATTAGGGACTAAAATTGACACATGAAAGTGTTTTGTTGTAAGGGAATTTTATAACACCATATTTGTGTTAAACTAGAGAAGGTTTCCATGTCTTACGGGGATTTGAAGCCTTCTGTTTTTTACGGTTTTTTTTTTTATTTTTATTTTTATTCATCATGAACGTTTTCATAAACCTGTACACATATAATGTTATAAAAACTTGAACAAATAAAAATATAAGCAATGAGCTAAAATGGCATTGGATCTACTTTAGTTGACATAAATCAAAGTGAAACTTTCCGGTCAAATAGTAAAACAGTCGGCAAAATATCAGGAAAAACAAAATGAATTAACTCACAAAAAATTTCTACATTGTATATGGAATGATTTGTTAGTGATGGTTTATTAGTAATGTATGATTGGTTGTTCAGTTTCAATATTTAAAGCAGAATCCACATCATACAACTTGCCTATCAAGTAAGCACTTAACAACAAACCCATAAAACAAATTAACCAACTACAAAGGTGAAAATAGATGCGCAAGATTTCAATCACGAAAAGTACCAATAATTACAAGAGTAAATTATTGATTGTCCTTATGGTTTGGTCAAATTGCACGATTTGTCCTTAACTTTTTTTTGCACTTGGATAGTTTGATTTTGTTGCGTTTTTCATCCTTATGGTTTGGTCAAAATTACACGTTTGGTCCCTAACTTCATGTATAGGGACGAAA